GACTGAGAGAGTGTGCATGCATATTTTATTTATTTATTTATTTATTTATTTATTTATTTATTTATTTAAAATATTTATTTATTTATTTATTTATTTATTTATTTATTTATTTATGGTACTTTGGCCCCCCAATTGTCTGAGGGACAGCAACCCGGCCCCCGGCTCAAAAAGGTTGCCTACCCCTGACGTAGATGATCTTACCTGCTTTTCCCTATGGATCAAGGTAGGGAGCAACAACAATGAACAAATAAATAACATCAATTAAAAGACACATCAATTTAAAATGACAAATAACATATACACATATTTAAAAGATCCACATTTAAAATTCATAATTTAAAATTCACAACTTAAAAATCAGCTGGATAAGCCTGCCAGAAGAGGCTGGTCTTCCATGTTGTTTTAAATTCGGACAGTGTATTCACTTTCAAATCTCTTCTGGCAGGTCATTCTACAGTTTGGGGGTGGCTGAAGAAAAAGTCCTCTGGCTGACAGTTGCCAGCCTGGTTCTGGCTGACTGGAGTAAATGTCCACCAGAGGACCTGAGTGTACAGAGCAGATTATATATGGTAGGAGGTGATCCTGTAGGTAACCTGGACCCAAACCATGTAGGGCTTTAAAGGTTAAAAACCAACACTTTGTACCTTGCCTAGAAACTGACCAGCATCCAGTGGAGTTATTTTATAATATAATCACTCTTGGATGTCCAAGTAATTAATCTGACTGCTGTGTTTTAAACTAGCTGAATTTTCCGAACTTGGTACAGAGGTAGTCCAATGTACAGTGCATTGCAGAAGTCCAGCCTTGAGGTTATCATTGCATGCAGTACCATCTTTAGTTCTCCAACCGAAGCTGATAATAAGCTTCAGCTGCTATGCAGCCACTTGTCTGTTGTTGTTGTTGTTGTTGTTGTTAACTGCCCTCGAGTCAACCTTGGCTTATGGTGACCCTGTGGATGAAACATCTCCAAGCCCCCCTGTCCTCCACTGTTCTGCTTAATGTTTTAATTTATAATTGATTTAATATTTTTAGGGGGGGGGAATTAGATTTTACAGTTGTATGTATATTTTATTCTTGTTAGCTGCTCCGATTGATCTCAAAGGGGTGGGATATAGATAAACTATTATTATTATTATTATTATTATTATTATTATTATTATTATTAATTATAGACATTTGTCGCTTGATGCACAGACCAAGTGCACCTTCCTGCCTGATATAGATGGAGACTCTAGCAGGGCCAAAGAATGGCAACCTCTCCATCCCTTGTACCATGGTTCTAATCTTGCTCAGCAAATGCTTCCCCTTTATCTATTTTTTAAAAAAGAAACTGAAAAGGAATTAGCTTACTTTTTTTTGGACAAGAGCTGCCAGAATCCCCTGTCCAGGAAAACCATAGGTTTGTTTTGCAGAAGAGTTAAAGGTATGAATAATATCATACTTCTAGTTCAAGCCAGCATGGTGTAGTGGTTTAAGTGCTGAATTAGGAGACCAGGGCTTGAATCCCTGCTCAGCCATGGATATCCACTGGGTGACCTTGGGCAGGTCACACTCTCCCAGCCTCAGAGGAAGGCAAAGACAAACCACATCTGAACACATCTTGCCAAGAAAACCCCATGATAGGCTCATCCTAACTCAGAAATGACTTGAAGGCACACAACAACAACAATAGCCAACAAGACGTTTGGTTGGCTTTAATGCATGGCTGGGGATCATTGAGTCTTCCAGATGTTGGACTGCAATTCCCAGCATTGGTCATGCTGGTTGGGGCTTCTGGGACTTGCAGCCCAACATCTGGAGGACTCAATGGTTGCCACTCCAGCAACCACTTTAGTTTCTTCTGGATGCAGTCCCTTCTTTTTCTCATCATGATCATCAATTATTGTTGTTCATGTTGCAAAGGGATCTTGTAGCATCTTTGAGACTAACTGAGAGAAAGAAGTTGGCAGCCTAAGCTACATCTACATTGGAGAATCACTGTTGTTTGTCACTGCTTTAACTGCCATGGCTTAATGCTGTGGAATTCTGGGATTTGTAGTTTTGTGAGATATTTAGCCATCTCTGCCCGAGAGTTCGGGTGCCAAAACAAATTACAAATCCCAGGATTCCATAGGATGGAGCCATGACAGTTAAGGAGGTGTCAAGCTGAATTAATTCTGCAGTGTAGATGCAGCCTTACTCTACTTCATCAGCTGTTCATGTTGTTATTGCTGTTGTTGTTGCTATTGCCAATGCTATTGTACATGCAGATCCTCCATCTTTTGTTCTTTCATTTCAGCCCAAGCAGGAGCCAACATAGTTATTTCCATTTATAGCCTCTGCATGCTAGAAAAGATGGAGCTCTCCAAATAGTTAATCTAATTTGGTTTGCAGAAATGCATGGCCTGCTATAGTGAGGGGTGGTGTGCGGGCAGAGAAAATAGGAGAAAAGAACGAAACACACTGACATTAAAATTACAGTTTTACAAATTTCATCTGGAGTTGCCCAAAGGATATGGAAACTTTTGGGCTTTGAAGATGCTCACAGTTTCTCACAACTGTTGGAACGCTGGCATTACAAGCTTTTGTGACTATGAGGTTATTTATGTCCTCTCCTGACTGTATTTTTTCAATAGAAAAGTGAGAGAAAATGTCTACAGTTTTATAGACACTGTTACAATCAATAATGTTTTGATTATCTTGAGCATGAAGGCTTAACAACCACTTTTATGAACAGCAATTTGCACTTGTGCAATTAAATGTAAGAGAAAAGAAAAGGAAACAATTTGGATTTTCACTTCTGTTGAGAGAAACTTGCAAAGGAAACAAATGATTAGGAGATTATCTGACAAACACAACTCAGGGATTATTATTATTATTACTATTATTATTATTATTATTATTATTATTAGTAGTAGTAGTAGTAGTAGTAGTAGTAACCCATTCCCTCCCCCTAAACTGAGATTCAAAGCATCTTAAAATCTAAAAACACAGTACAATTAAAAACTTACAAAAGTGACAATTAAAATGGAATTAAGGAATTGCAATGGAAGTGGAGGAAAGAACAGGGAAGCATGACAACTCCATCAGTGATTCTGATAAGCTACCTACATTTTGGTTCCTCTTCTTTTGGAGTGGTTTTCACCCTTGGGTTGGTTATAAATACTCTTATTTAACTTTAATTAACTGTAATCATCCTGTATCATCTGCCCCGTATGCTCAGGTCCCTTGGCAGACATTAACCCCAGTCATCCAGGACTAGGTTGGCAATTGTCACCCAGAGGACTTTTTCTTCAGCTGCCTCCAAACTGTGGAATGACCTGCCAGAAGAGACTTGACAGCTGCATACGC